CGAATTTTGTGATAAACGATTCCAAAATATTCCATATCAAATTGAGAACCATTTCGATTTACAATATCATACAAATCCATTATTTGTGTCAATATCGAGTTAGACAAATATCTATGCTAATTTAAAATTCACTCAAGTGAATCTTTGTCATATCTCTTGAGATTCTAATTAACTGAAGCATTTTGTCATGATTTCTATTAACATTTATATAGGCTGTCAATTTACGTTTTTAATCGATTAGAATTTAATACCAAAATTATTTTTTTAAAGAGAAAATATTAAAAATGTATTTATGTTTCATCATATTTGATATAAATATATCGAATATCAAACATGAAAAAGATAATCAATCCTTTTGATGATGAACATATAGTCAATTGAAGAATATATTTTATCAAGCAAATTTAATGAGAACGATTTAGATTTATTAATAATTATTTAAAAATAATAATGAATATTGAATTAAATATGAATTAATGTATTTAAATAAAATTCGTTTTGTATGAAACATAATGTAAATTTGTTTTAGTAATAATTTTATATTTTAATTGAACATAATAATGATATAATGGTAATAATGAATTCCGTATTTCTCCGACTATAAGTGATAAGAATCACCAGTTGTATGTACTTCAGATTGTAATTTAATTTGCCGAGCGGATTGCACATTCATTGTATGGAGTATGTTTACGCATATGTAGACTATACTTTATGACCCACTATACGCCTGTAACATCTTGTTTCGAGAACGTAATTGGAAATGAATACTTGATCGTTTAGATCGCGAAGTCTGGTACGCGGAACTAATACCGCTTCGCGTTTCGACGAGAAGATTGAATTTCCGCCAAACTTAGCGCTTCCCCTGAGGAACGATCTTTCACGCTTACGAGTTAAGGTTGTAAAGTTATCATTTTTTAGCATGATTCTCAAAGATATACAACTTGCGTTTTATACACTTTAGTAGTTTTTTGTCATAAACAAAAATTTTCATTGCATTATGTACCTGAATAATGATTATCTCTGATTAACTACTTCTCTCAACATTCCTCCTCCATAATGGCATTATGAATTATTGTGTGGTGATTACTTTCGTCGACGTTATCTGACGTGATCATCTTTTAACGCTTAGTCTTACGTTATTTTTATTATCAGAACCATTATATGCCTTCCGTGTTTCATTTCTCCGGAAATTGCTATACGACGTTATAGTTAATGTTATAGTCAATGCAGAAGAATGCAGAAAGAATTTATAATATATTGTATCTTTTATACACGGAAATTAATTATGAAACGAATTTTAATTAATTCAGTCTAAAACAAATGGATGGATATAAAAGAATTTTCTTGAGTTTTCCAAAATATCGTTAATATAATAGAATGCATAAAAATATATCCACGCGTAAAATTTTAAATATAATTATAATTGAAAGTGCAGCGCTATAATAATATTACTACTATTTTAATATTAGTCTGCAAAAGCGTAGATTTATTTTAAATTAAATATACTGCAATTTTACTCTGATTAAAATAGAGAGTGAAAAAAGAGCCATTATTAAAAATACCAATATCAGTTTTTACGTGGTGATTTCTTAGCCTGAATAGAACGTAGAGAAAATAGTGCATTTGCCGTTGTTCGGACCCAAAATCGATTGCAAGGCAATTCACAATGCAGTTGGTTAAATCCAATTTACGGAGTACTTCGAGTTCGTTTGAAAAAGAGGCAGGTGCTATTATCTGCTTCACCCTTGACTTCCTTTGTTTCCTTCTAGCCGTACCTTGTGTTATACAGGATAGTTTATGACGTTATAAAAATCCAGAGTGAGTACTTTAACTGATCGAAAATGCGATTGTTCGTACTGGTTTTGAAATATAATATTTTAGATTTTATATTTTTGCAATGATTTTTTATCAACACAAATATACATTAGTTTTAATATAACGTTAAAACGAAGCTAAAAAATATATGTAAAATATATTTGGAAAAAATTGAATTTAATTATATTGATATAGATAATATACATATGCAGAATAAAGAAAAATTGATACTGTGAAAAAGTTAGTCAATAATAAATAATAATTTTACAAGAGTTTATAAAGTTAGTCTCTAGATATTAATTTTTACAAAAGTGATATAGCATTTAATTATCCACGATTTGTTCATATTTATTCATAAATAATTTTTTGTTTATTTTGTAAGAAGAATTTATAAATAAATAAAAGAGTTGAGCAAATTTCGCAGTAATTAAAATGGAAGCCAGCGAATTATTTTAAATATGAAACAGTATATCGCTATTGCAATCTTATTTCACTACTAAATGTAATTTCTCACTATAATAAATGTAATTTTATTATAATAGTATATAGGTAATATCACTTATTCTTTAATTATGTAATTAATTTTGTATCTATTTTGTATCTATTTTCCTCAATATATTTCTTATGAATCCCATTTTAGGTTGCATTAGGAATTGATCGTCACTTTGTCGAAGGCTCAAATTCTTACGTATTGTTCCACCGAATATGGGTTCATTATGTTTTCTTGGCGTGGTCGCGGAAGTAAAAGGACGCTTCCGCTACATGCAGCGGAAGGAAAAATCTGATTCTCACGAGCGGCGAGTCCGTTCGCATCGTCGAAGACATCCCAGTGGGTCCATTAACCCTTCTGACGGTGGGGTAAACGGCAGAAAGGAAAAATAAACAGACGAGAATTTCTAGGATGGAGAATGAAGGGTAGAAGAGCGAGAAGGAGAAGGAGACAAGAGAAGAGGGAGAATCGAGGGTGGTGATGGCGTGTCTGGATATCGATCCTGGCTTCCGGGACGTTACCACCGTGCCCCAGCTTTCTACCCCATATATACTCGCTCTGTGTGCACGTATCTATAAGCACTCGGTGCACACATACACGCGCGTGAATTCAGGTATGCTTAGGAATTATGTGGGCCGCATACACCTACGTCGAAAGATGCACTGGTTTAGCGCATATATGTGTGTGGTTTAGGAACGTACAGTATTACTAGAGAACTTCTGGGAAAAGTCATTCCCTTTTCCAGGTTCTAAATGCTCCTATTGCATCCGTGAATTTCATTAGAGTGCAGAGTGTTGCGATTGAGTGAACTTTTCGATTATCGCGTGTCCTCTCGCGCGTCATAAATCGCTCAGTCAATTTTCATAAGAGTGCAGTCAAGCGAAATTTGTTTCTTCACGCTGCAACTTACTCATCGCATCATATGAATGCTTGTTGTTAATAAACTAACATTTACTTTTGACTATATGTATAGACATTACTAGAAGTAAATGTTTAAATATGAAAATGAATTAATTAAGCATTTCAAAGCTCATATCATAGTAATATATATACATATATATAATATACATATATATATAATATATATACATATATATAATTGCATACACAGTTTGACATATTTTAACAGTTAACTGTAATTAAATGTGTACAACTATTAGCAATTTCAAATAATGTAGAATTTCATTATTTTTGGTCACACGGCACATCTCTGAAAATAGCGTGTCATTTGGTCGTTTTGTGCTCGTCCCAAAAGCAGACTTTGAACATTCTCCTGTTTAACAAGTTGTGCATATCAGAGACAGACGCCGGAATCTTGTCATGCCAGTGATAGTTGCTGCTTGACTGTTTCCTGTCTAGGACTTCTGCCGGGTTACTCGTTCGTGACATGGTTAAACGAAGTTTCGCCACAAAGACACTTTTCTGCGAACATTTAATGCTAATCGCCACTGAGAAATTCTAGTCAAGCTAGCTGGAACAATAAAGGTCGGTTTCTCTCTAGCAGCAACCGCGCGATATTGTTTTCCTAATCGTACGTCCCACGACTGAATGCCGTCACTGTCTGGATGACAAGTGATAATTTGAAATTCAACAACTTGGTTATGTATTCGTAATCAGGAGACGCCCACGTACTTTGAAAAAAATATCTGAAATTGTTCGAATGAAACATATGAGCTGTGAATAATTCGATAAAACTTCGTGTTGTATAAGTTTTTAAATTCTTCGACTGTACTTTTATAAAATTATTTTTAAAAAATCTGTTTAAAAGATTTGAGAAAGATCGACATTGATTTTATAAAGATATTATTACAAATGTTATTATATAATATTTTTGAAAAGAAAAATTAATTATAAAAGAATTATACAAGATTTATAAAAGAATATAAG